AAGGGTAAAATTGTAAAATGTGCATTAAATATTACAACAAATACTAAATTGAAGCTTATAAAATAGACCACACTTCTTCCTCAGTTTGAAGCTTATAAATAAACAGGACCGGAGGGAATAGTCTTTACAACTAGCTCTCCATGAAAATCTGTATTAGAAAGAAACAGATTCCTAATATCTGACACTAAAACCCCGCCTAGCTTCCAGTCCGGGCAAGAGGCAACATCCCTTGCAACCTGAACAAGACGCAGACAATCGGATTCAACAAAAACTTTTCCTAAGCCACCATCTTAATTTCCACTTGCCAACAGCACCAAGAAGAGCTTTCTCCTCGCATTCAAAAGCTAAAGACGCCAACCCTTGTTGGCAAAAGATGCCAACCGCATCACCATTCTCGTCCCTAATAGTAAAGCCAAATCCGCACTTTCCTGTGGAAGGAATAAATGAACCATCAATATTAAGCTTAGGTCCGTTTGGTACAAAGCTTTGAAAATAAGGAATAAAAATTAGGATTGGGATTGAGAAAAACTATTAAAGAGTATTTAGTATGAGTAATTTCTTATTACATGAGGTTAGATAATCCCATTAGGCGGGATTGAAGAATTTAGTCCATCTTAAAACATTAGTTTTTGGAGGTGTTACAATATCAATATTTGCTGAAATATTATAAATGGTGTTAAAGTAGTGACGTGGATTCACCAGATGGGACTTAGCTGGATTTTGTGTACGGCTAACATATTATGTGGAGGGGGAATGAGATTTCAAAATACATCGCAGTGAATAGCTTCTCCAACGAACAATGAGAAGAAAAACAAAGGAAGCTAAACAACTACATTTTGAGGACCTATTCTTTGTTTTTTTCCTCATTATTATTTATACAAGATCCAACTGGGTGTCATCTTGTGATTCATATTACCACTTTAATGTAATTTATGACATTTTAGAAGATTTTAACATTATTAAACCTCCAAGGACTAACATTTTAAGATAGTCTATGGGCTTGAAATTTGAAAGACCAAAACCAAAGTAGTCTCAAATTCCAGGGACAAAAATTATATTAACCCTATTAGTTATTATTGGAAGAAGCAAAATTTAAGATGCATTGCATTTTAAAAAAATAAACATTATATTACAAATAGGATTCATATAAGGAGCATATTTAGAAATAAGTCCCATAAATTTGCTAACACGCGGTAAGGCTCTATCATCCTTAGTACTCCCTCTGTCTCTTTTATAAGAAACGATTAAGCGAACGAGAAATCTTTATGTAATTTACTCTATTAACGAAGGTACAAGGCAGCAACACAAGTTGGCCAAAAAAAAAAACAAAGAAAGAAAGGCACCGAGATAATTCCGATTTTTTTTTTTTTTAATATCCGTCAAGTTTTCATAGGCAGATATGAAATATTTCAGTGCATATTTAAATTATAGTTTTCATCATTTAATTGTGTGAGACTCCCTAAAAAATTTATCAGCTGAAAGAACTGCTATCTGTATTATATGCAAGAAAAATAAACAAAATGAACCAGTATTATATGCAAGAAAAATAAACAAAATGAACCAGTATTATATGCAAGAAAAATAAACAAAATGAACCAGTAGCAGCAAATATGGTTCTCCATGTATGGTTTCTATAAAGAAAACTATATACATAGAATTTGATATCAGTCCCGTTATTAGCTGTAATTTTTTTATAAACTCTATATATTGCATATTGTTCTCGATAATCTTTTCTCTCATTCTACTAACAATCTTGACTCTTCTCAGCAGGCTTTTTATTCTGGCCAACAATTTTAGGGTAGAGACTATATGTCCAACTTCATCAAATTCTGTAACTTTATAACAATTTTCGATTGGGAATGGAATGGAAAAATAACCAATGAGGCTAATATTAAAATGAGTTTCAATTTCAGATCATTTCTTTTTCTTTGGTATGGTAGAATATTAATAGATTGCTCAATCACAAGCAGGCATTATAATAACTTATGGGAGAACTTGAATATCGACACTATGTAGAAGCCATCTAGAGATCAAGTTTTGAGCGTGGTAAATGCTACTCCTTCGGTAATTAAAACCTAACTAACTAATTTGAGCAGATTAAGGATGTTAGCTAAATTAGTTAATATGATTTTTTTTTCTAAAATATCCTAATTATTTTTCTTAATTTCCTCTCTCCCCTCCTACTTAATTATTGTTGAGGAAATATCAATAAGATTGATTTAATAAAAACTGATAAATATGTGAAATGGGTCTTACATATAAGACCAACGTTAACTCTCAAATTAGGTCCTACATTAAGGATAGGAGGAGTATTCTACTAATATCCATCTCATTTAGCCACTATTTCTCGAATTTTTGGATGAATTTGAGTTTTAATTATTACTAAGTTAATATATTACTTCTTTTTTCAATTTATACTCTGTCTACCCTTGTTTTTTAAGATAACCAAAAAAGATCTAACCCAGAAAAAATATTAAAAGACATGGTTAAGGGCATAAGCGAATGATATTAGCTGGTCGAGGTCATTCAGTTCCATGCTGAAAATTGCTTCAAATTAGCTTCAGATTTTAATATGAATGTCATATACTCCAAATGGGATTTAGAAAAGTTTATAGCCTGGTGGATAAGTATTAAAAGAAAATTACAACTAGCAATTTGCAATAGAAACACCATGGACACTTAAGTGGTCCTCAACTTTTAAATAATATAATCTTGCATGAAGAGGTCAGCTTTATCCTTGATAACCTCTCAAAATTCCTACCAATTCAACTTGTTTTAACACTCTTTTTTGGGTTTTAGAAGCTAATTGTGCAGGGTTATTCCCTCAAAGCTAGAAAATATGGCTTGAAAAAGTAAACTTTTATTTATGCTAACAATTGGGGATTATTTGTGCAATGCTTCTAAGATTCTTGTTGCAAGAAATAGCAAGAGCAGGAAGATGAATGACAAGGACAAAGATTCAACCAATTTTGGTTGATCAGAAGAAGATCAAGGATCCAGAGCGAGCATAGATGGAAGACCAAAGGTAGAGAGGCTAAAAAGTATCATCCGCGGTGTCTCCAACAGAAAGGAAGGAGAGGTATTCTGTATAAGGTGCTGGGGCACCTATATATATCCACCGTGACGCCCAATCTTTCCTGAGAAGCTTGCCATTTTGTAATAGGCACCGCAGTGCCTGTCCATATCCGTTGTGGTGCCCAACCCTTTCCAAGAAATTCCCATTTTGTGTAATCTACTGCGACAGATGAGTATATCCGCTGCGACGTCTATCCCCTTGCAGCTATGCATTTTGCATTGTAACTTAATAAGTAGGGCATATAGGAGGCGGAACTCATGATTTTCAGGCATTCTTCAACTTAGGGCTTATTTGGAGGTGTTCTTTGCTAGGGTTTGGTGGTTTTGAAGATTGGAAATATTGGGCTTGAGGTTGCAAGAGATTAGAAGCTTCTTCTTTTATTTTCCTTGGTTTTCTTCTCCTCTTCTCCTTTGTTTCCGTAATGGATGCGAAATGTCTATGTATTTGTAGCTCTTTACCGAAATGTGTAGCTAGAGCAGTCATTCTAGGGTTATTTTGATCTATTGTATGGATTAAGACTTATTTTAACTCTCTCTTTAGTGTTAATGATAATGTTATGTTGTTTTTATCTTGAGCTTAATGCTTTCTTGTGATTGGCCACCATTTGGAATGATTTGTTGATTGGTTGAAGCTTGAGAAAGTTAAATCGATCTTTGAACTTAGGTAAAAACATGCTAAATTAGAAATTTATCCTATTAAATGGATGTTTTGTTGATAGAATAGAGACATATCTATTGATCTAGCATTATCCAAAAAGGGTTTTGGTTTTCAAAGTGTAATCTTTTTAAACAAAAGCAAGAGATTGAGAAGTTTTACTAAGATTGCAAGACTTGGTTTTGACCTGAGAAAGCTTAATCAATATTTGTGAATCTTGGGCTAACTTAACTCATCGTTAAACACCAAATGAGAAGTTACTAATCAAGTTTTATCAAGTACAATAGTGAGAATAACTCTAGATCCTTATTTGTTTCCAAGTCAAGTTTGTTTTATTTCGAGTTTAATCTTTGTTTTCAAAGTACATTACACAACTTTATTTACAACAATTATTTCACTTAACCTAATCAAGAAGATAATTATGATTTTTAACTCGTCTGGCCTTAGTCTATGAAGGAACGATACTTTTTATACTACTTGCTACGTCTGCTTGCTGTTAAGCTAATCGGCGAACAATTCTTCAACCTAAATCAGAAAACGATATGGACAGTTCCGAGCAACCTCAACCTGTAGAATTTTAAAAAGTGATAATACTAATTAGATTAAACACATTACTTTGAGTTGTTATTCTTCATCTAATCATCAATATTATTGCAAGTCTATCATTTAGTGAACGAATTGGCTTTAAAGCAGTACGAGAGAAGAGCAAAACCAAAATACTTGTCTTGCGCCAAAAGATGATTTCCTGAAACAATTAACAGAACTGATTTAAGAAAGACTGTGTAAAAGTAACTATCAGCATAAATAATAGATTTCCTAATCAGAAGTAGGTCTTTAAATGGCTAGCTAGTTAAACTACTTACCTGCCAGCAACGTTGCAAAATGTTTCAATTATGATAATTATTCAAGTTGCCTTCTTAAAAGCCTTCTTTATCATGTATCTGAGATCATCATCCGAAGCAATAGTCACATTATCCGGTGCACATACATCAGCATGAGAAAAAACCTTCATTTGGGAGCAATCATTTATTGAAACTTGTTCCAAGCATGGAAATTTCAAATGGTACGACCCTGTGTAAAAGCTACCAAGACTCCGGAGAGACTTGAGCTTCAGCTTTTTGAGATTCTCAAATGTTATCTGATCATCTTCATCTGATTCATCTTGTTCAGCCACTATTTCTTCCATTGCTTCACATTCCCATACGCATAACTCTTCAAGTAAAGCTAAACTTTTAGCCATTGAGAATGTGAACAAATATACCAATCCATCTCAATAATTCACATCAAGACCCCTTAGATTTGTGAAAGACACAGTGGATGGAGCCAAGCTAATCAAACTGTGACAGTATCTCACTTTCAAGATTTCAAGGTTTTCAGGTAGGGAGGTGTGCTCTAATCCAATAGAACTGAGATTCGACAGAGAAATCAGTTCCAAAGTTTTTAGCTGTGAAAAGAACTCATTAGCACAGCCATCCAGATCTGATATTTCAGAGGTAAATATCTGTCTGAAATTACAACGAGACACTGCAAACCCTTCAACATGGGGAAGTGATTCCCTTTCTAAGAATCCATATGGTAATACGTCTGAATCATCACAAAAGCCTAGCAGTTTGAGGAATTTTGCTCTCTGAAGAAGCTTTGCAGGAAATGGTGCTTGCTGAATCTGCACAATGTCTTCCTTGCAAAGCGACACATGGTCAAGGTTGGGAAAAACCTGGGGTCAAAAATATTATCATTAGAAAACGACAATGATAAAAGAATACAGGTTTTTTTTTTTTAACAAAAAGTTGTAACAGCAGCATTACCTCTTCTAATGTTATATTGGCTTCCATTATAAGCGAAAAATAATCAAGACCCTCCACTCCAATATTCGTTAGGTGACCACATTGATATACAATCAATTCTCTTAACTTTGGCCATTCCATATTGTTCACTCCTGAATAGATGCACTTGAGCTCTGGCAATTCCAATAGTTTCAACTCAGTTAAGCTAGGGAAGATAATTAAATTTCTTACTGATTCTTCTGAGGCTATTTCTTCGCTTGCAACAATCTCTACTAATCCCTCACAACATTCAACTAGTAGAAATTCAAGGCTTTCAAGTTTGCATTGGGCCATTGATGCTGGAAACAAGCTCCTGAGGCTTCTACATTTATGAATATACACATGTTGTAGAGATGGGAAGCTGAGAACTTCCTGAGGATCCTCATTCCAAACATTCTCCAAATGGGGGAGTTGTTGCAAGGTCAATCTTTTTACGGGAATAAAGAAGGGGAACAAGGATCCCACCTCAAATATTGCCTTTATGGAATCACAATTTCGTACTTGTAAATCTTCCAAGTTCCTTAGGAAGGGAACCAAATGACAAGGGATCACATAATGTGACAAAAATTGGCAACCATCCACTTTCAAATACTTCAAGTTACTGAAGCCTCCGTCTGGGACCAGGGTAAGGCCCTCCCATATTTCCTGTAGCTCTGGGTGACCACTAAGCTGCAAATTTGATGCATCACGTGCAAAGTTTGCAAGCTGCACAAGAAAAACAATTGATTCTATAGATGACTGGTAATATTTGGCAAATAAAATTCCTTAGATACCGTAATTGAGAAGTAGGTCAACTAGACTCATATTTATGATTCATTTTCAACAAATACTTTCCCAATATGTAAATATACAAATCGCCTAGTAACTAAAAAGACTTGATAAATCAACTTAAGTTCTGCCCAAAGCATGTTGTCACAAAAAAAAAAAATCAAAATGAAAGCAAGATTGAAAAAATGAAAAAAAAAAAAAAACACTTACCTGTGTGGAAAAAATCAATCCTATGGAGACATTTAAATCCAAGCCAGTGAATTGATGGCTCGATTGAAACTTCATGCCAGTTTGCTGGGGAGCAAAATTTGTGACGAATTCGATAACTCCAGTTGAAACTTGTAGATGCTCAGGCGAATTTATAGCTCCATCAGAGAAAATTCTCATTTTGGGGCATTGATGGACAAAGACAAGTTCTAAGCATGGAAGGTTCAATGTAGAATTCCCAGAATGAAAGCAACCAAGCCTTTGAAGAGACACAAGCCACAATCTTTTGAGCTTCTTGAATGATACATCATCTTGATCAGATCCATCTCCTTCTTTAAACAATATTTCTTGTATGGATTCACATCTTACAATGTACAACTCCTCAAGTAAAACTAAACTCCTTGCAGTTGACAATGTGAACAAATATACCAATCCTTCACAATCAAATACACGCAATTCTCTTAATTTTGACAAAGATACAACAAATGGTTCCAAGCTCCTCAAACGATGACATTGCTCTACTAGCAAGGTTTCTAGGTTTTCAAGAATTGGGGCTTCCCATGAGTGCTCTAGTCCAATGGATTCGAGATACCACAAACAAACTAGTTCCAGTCCTTTGAGATGCGGAAACATGTCATTATCAAGATCCACATCAAGTATTTGAGAGCTGAAAATTCCTTTGAAACTGCAACAAAAAACTTGAAGTATTTCTAAATTGGGAAATGATCCCTTCCGGAACAGTTCGCATGGAAATTCATCTGCATCATCGTGGAAGCACTGCAATGTGAGTGATTTCACTCTTTGAATAAAGTTTACTTGACATTTTCCTCTCCAATTAATATTCATGATATCTGCCTTGTTCAGTGACAATTGCTCAAGGTTGGGAAATCCCTGGTGAGAACCAAATTATTATTAGGCTAGGAAAAAACAATAATAAGATCTATTTCGGACATTTTCTTATTAATCACCTGAACAATATATAAAATGAAAACTATGGAGGATACCATTCTTGCAACGTCAAATCGAAGAATCAACACTTATATAAGAGGGAAAAAAATACCTTTTCAAACGAGACAATGGTTTCCATGTCAACTGGAACATGACCGAGACCTTTTGTTGGAAGGATTATCAATTGATCACAATGGTATAAATGAAATAGCTTCAACTTTGGCCATTCCAGATCATCTAGTCCTGGACAAATGCACTTAAGCTGTGGCAAAACCCATAGTTGCAACGTGGTTAAGTTTGGAAACATAATTGAGTTTGAAGTTGCTCCTCTTGGCACTGTTTCATAATTTGCGACGATTTCCACTAATCCCTCACAAATTTGCACTCGTAGTATCTCAAGGCTTTCAAGTTTGCGTCGTGACATTGATGCTGGAAACAAGCTCCTGAGGCTTCTACATCCATCAACTAACACATGTTGCAGAGACTGGAAGCTGAGAAATTCTTGAGGGTCATTATTCCAAACATTCTCCAAACCAGGGAGTTTCTGTAAGGTCAATGTTTTCAAGGGAATTGAGAAAAGGGAAGACAAGGATCCCACCTCAAATATTGCCTTTACGGAATCACAATTTCGTACTTGTAAATCTTCCAAGTTACTCAGTAAGCCAAGCAAATGAAAAGGGATCACATAATGTGATAAAAATGGGCAACCATCCACTATCAGAGTCTTCAACTTACTAAAGCCTCCTTCAGGAACAGCCATTATGCCATGCCATATATTTCCAAGCTGAGGGTAATCTCCAAGCTTTAAATCTTGCACACCACGTGTAAATTGTGCAAGCTGCTCCAACAAAATAAAACAGTTGAAACATTATTAGACGGTTATGTATTATCAAAAATTGAACTTTGTACTTTCCTCGACAACAAAATAAAAACGCATTATTGGAACCTAAATGCATTTTAGCAAGCTTACCGTTAAGCTATTCACATAGTACTAATTTTTTATTTAATTAAATGTAATTTATAAAATTGTATATAACAATATTTAATTGTAACAATACATTGAAACAAAATTAGCATTGGCTATATGATATTGTAATTGTACCAGAATTTTTTAAATTGACAGGGATTTAATATTTTTGACAGGATAAACCATTTTTAAGGATTGAAGATCCATTTGGAATTTCCCTAGAATTTTGCCCATTTTTAAGAAAGATATGCTTTCAATTGATTACTAAACACCACGAACGTACTGGTCATACAATAAAACAACATACGTAAGACTATTTGCCCTTAAGATTAACAACATGCAAGTTAGAAACAATTTAGGGGCAAGCAAGAATAATTAAAGATTGGACATGCCACGTGTCAAAGTGCAAGTAACCAGGATTGTTATGCATATACAAGCTGCGTAATTGAGATGGAGGAAGGAATTCAATATTATGTATGATGCAAAATTTATCAAACTGTTATAAGACTGACGATGCCATTTGACAATGAAAGTTAGGCGTTGGAAGGGGGGAAAAAAAAGAATATGAAAGTTAGGCATAGATGCTACTACCGCCGGTCTTTAATATAAGACCCAGTTAAGTAATTTAAAAAAATTAAGAAAATTACTAAATTACTTAATTATAGCATATGTTACATGATTTTTTAAAAATACTTATTTATGTCATTAGATTATATATCAATTTATAACTAAAGAAAATTAGTTTGGAGGAAAAAGATAAATATAAATACTTTAAGATAATTTGGTAACTTCCTTAATTTCTCTAAATTAATTAATTAGGTTTTATATTAAGGACTAGATGTAGTATATTGTATTGAATGTTGGGAAGGCAATAAGCCAAAAAAAAAAAGTGGCTAAGATTAAGGTTAAAATGGATGTGGGGTTAAATAAAAATTGACATGATAAACAATCGCTATACAAAAAAAAAAAAGAAGAAAGAAATTGGCATTGCTTCTATAAAGGTTGAAATGGCGGCAAAACCAATACGTAACACATACAAAATAAGAAGCATAAGTAAGGAATTGAATAGGTATAACCTTTTAGCTCTATGATAAAGTTTGTTGTTGATTTAAAAATAAAATAAAATAACCCGCTTCCTTCATTATCTTAAAGCTAAAGTGTACGTTCAGTTATTGAAGTTTATACCAACTTCAGTTTAGTTCTCGAGATATAAAGTATACTTTCAGTTACTTAATTTTAACATTTTTAGTCTCATTAATAAAGAATACCGATTAACGAATTGAATGATAACTTCATAATTAAATACTGACATATTTATCTTTAATTTAAAATGAAGGTGCGGTATGCATTTAATTTGCAAAGTTACTATTTAAATTCACTGAATCAACATTTAGCATGTTAAGATTATTAAGAGATTTATAAACTTAACAGAATAAACTAAAAAATATAAAATAAGTTAATTAAACTATTAACAAACAATCAAAAACTAGAAATTGAAAATATCATTTCGGTCATATATATGTAGATGTATTCAATTAAGACAGAAGGATATAGAATGAAATGTCGATGCATAGAAATAACCACTCAAGATTCCGCCTATACCAAGCTATCTGGGAACAAGATATGCTTACCTCGAACAATTTCTGCACTGTGGTATTGAGATCCCTGTAGTTGTGCAAATCATATTCGACCCTTGAAGCATTTATTGCAAAAAAGTTGTTGGCTCTTACAAATCCTGGAGAGAAACATTTCATCTTTGGGCATTGTTCTATGATCGTCATTAAAAGAGTTGAGAATTCTAAAGTGGCATTCCCCCAATAAAAACTCTCTAGTCTTGGTAAATGACTCAAAGTTACATATTCAAGACTTTCAAATATCATCTCATCTGAAGCTGATTCATCATTCCCATCATTCACTATTTGTGTTATTGATCCACATTCGGCTATCACCATTTTACGAAGTTGAACCAAACTCTTGGCTACTGAAGATGAGAATAGAGAAACAAAGCCATGGCACCGCATTATTGTCAATTCTTTCAAACTACAAAATGATACTGCAGAAGGAGGCACCAGAATAGTCAGTTGAGGACAATCAACTATTTGCAGGAGTATGAGATTCTTGGCAACCGGGTCCGCCCAGGAGTTATCTAACCCAATGGAGGAGAGCAGAGGCAGCGAATCTAATGCTAATTCTCTTACTCGTGCAAGTGTATTGATGATATGATCAATATCTTCAGGTCTTTGAGTGGGGACAATCTCATCCAATGCAGTGAAATTACTTATCACAAGACGTTGTAAATTAGGTACCTTTTTAAAGAATTTAAAAGGCAAAGTAGCTCCAGCTTCATAGGAATCACCAAACCACAGCTCCAGAAATTTCAGTTTATGAAGCAGGCCATCAGGAAAATGCCCATGTGATAACATCTTCATGTCTTTCCCATTGAGTGTCAAAGTTTCCAAGTTCGGAATAAACTATTAATGAAAATAGACAAAAAAGAATAACAAGTATTACGCTGATAGATACGAGAGGGGAAAAAAAAAGTAAAGGGATAATGCAAAGGAAGATTAAATTGCCTTGTCAGCGATGCAAAGAGATTGTCTGCTAGTTGTAATGTTAGATACATCCTCACATTCTACTGCTCCTTGGTGGTTTTGAAAATCTGATGCGAATGTGTCTAACTTACCACAACCAAACACACATAGATTCTCCAAGCTGGGAAATTTTAGATTGTATCTTCTAGGATAGAAGAACTTGAGGCTTGGTAAATGAGCCAAAGTCAAAGTGGTTAAGTAATGGAATTCAATTATGCTAACTCCATCTGCCACTGCTTCTTCTTTTCCAACAATTTCTTCCAACGCGTGACATCGCCTTATTTCAATTTTCTTGACTCTCACCAGATTTCTTGCCAAAGATGCTGGGAAAAGAGTTTTTATACCCGCACAATCATTAACAACTATTTCTTTTAGATTCGGAAAACTTACAATACTTTGAGGATCTTTGTTCCACATACACTTCAAATTCTGCAAGCCATTCAAAGTCATTCCTGTCAAATGAAAGGGTTTTCCCTTCGTTTCTGTCAAACTGCTGCCATCAATATCAAAAATAACCTCCACTGGACTCGAACTTACTTGCAATTCCTCCAGGTTCTCAAAGCAAGGAAGTAATCTAGTAGGAAATACTGCTGTTGACAGAAACGAACAGTTCTCCACTACCAATTCTCTTAGATTGTTAAAGCAGTTTCCTGGTGGGGAAATTTCACCGTACCATAGTTGTTGTAGCTCAGGATGATAGGAAAGTTTCAAATTTTGACAGAACTCAAAAAGAACCTACAAAATCAAATAAATTTAGACATCATTAGACTAGTCTCAATAAAATACTAGGAAAAAAATTTTTTCCACCACAAGAATAAAAGTCTTTCCCTTGACTTGGATGATTAATTATACTATTCTAAGAACATGGAGATAGCTCTGGAAGTGGGTATTTGAGAGACAGGAAATGTGAAGATTATAAACGCAAGGAAAAAAGGTAACAAAATAAAAGAAGATATATAATACAGAAACGAAGGGAATTAATAGCCTTTAGAATTCAGACTATCATGTAAAATAGCCTTTAGAATTCAGACTATCATGTAAAATAATATTGATACCTGAATTTAAATTCTCACAGTAATTAATCCTGCCATTTAAACACTTGCAATATATATTGATATCTAATAAAAAATTTATAACCACTTTTTGCACGTACCTCATGTGTAAAAATCTTTTGGATTGTAGCATTCAAATCACCTTCCCATAACCATTTATTTCCCTCTTCTCCTTCTAAGATATCAACTTTATCTAAGCTTGGTGTGCTAATTTTCTCGGAAAATTTTTCTAACTTAAGGCACTCGCTCACTTTCACCCTTTCAAGAGACGGAAACGTAAAGACAGCTTTACTCTGGGAGTTAGAAAAACTTGTAAGGTTTCTCAAAGACACAAGTTCTAAACTTTTCAATTTGCAAAAAACAACCTCATCTTGTTTCTCTCCTTCATTCTCCTCCACTGTGACAATTTCCTCCATCATTGCACATTGAGCAACCTTCATGGTAGTAAGTCGAACCAGGGATTTTGCAGTTGATGAAGTCAATAAACTCCTTAATCCGTCACACTTGCTGACTTCAAGATATGACAAGTAAGTCAATTCTAGGGAGGATGGAATTAATTTTGTCGAGTAGTAGCATTCCACAATGCATAGATTCTCAACTCTTTGAAGAATGGCGCCATTTTCAAAGCCTATATTCAATGGAATATCTGAGAACTCTACAGTCATGTTTTTAGGTTGTACAACAGTTCCAATTTCCTCGAGGGAAACATGACCTCCTTTAGGCATCACCTCTTTGGTAGAATTCCTCAAATTTAGGCTTTCTAGATTAGGACATCTATGGAGAAACCAAAAGAGAATTTCAATGCTGCTTAATCCATCAAAAGTTAGGTCTTTCATTGAAAGCATCAGATTAACATTATTGCCAATGATGGTGTCCCGCAACCTCTTTATTTCCTTCAGCCCAAATATGGCTACTGTTTCCAAGTTGGATATCACCTAAAAATCATCATGGCAAAAAGAGAAAAGCATAACTTTAGAAGAAGAAAACATATATATGCTATTACATAGATAAAGAAAATCATAGGTTTAAACATATGTACTTTTTTGCCATCATGTTGCAAAAGGAACAAAAAAAAAAAGAAAAAAAGAAAAAACATAGCACAAGTGTGAGTAAAGTAGATGTACTGCCTTTAAAAAATTTATATATACTTCCAAATATCTTGTCAATAATGATGCTCTTCTACCTTTACTAAAGATGAGAGAAACGGTTTCACTTCAGAGCATTTTGTTCCAGCACCCAATGTTTCCAGCTTGTCACAACGACCAAATAACAAACAAGTCAATACTTGAAACTCTATAGTATGTGTTCCCTGATAGAAGCGCCTTAGCTCTGGTAGATTTAACAATAGAAGTGTGGTTAGCTTAGGAAACTTAAACATGAAGTTGCTTCCATCTGATGCATAACTCCTGGCTACAATTTCCTTCATCCCATCACAACGCCTTATCTGAATGGTCTCCAGTTTCATTAGATCATTGGCAATAGAAAGTGGAAACAGATATTCTCGCCTTGGGCAACCAGTGACAACTACATGTTGTGGACCTTTAAAGTTCAAAGGTGCTTGAGGTGTAAACTGCAAGTCGAATATCTCTTCCATTGACTTACAATCATTGACCTCTAATATGCTAAGATTATGAAATCTTCCTGCCATGTAAGGAAGGAAAATAGTGACAAGTTTGTGACAGTCGTCAATTATCAAAGACTCCAAACTGCAAAAGGAATTCATGCTAGCTCGGGCATGCCATATAGTTTTCAATTCCTCCATGTTGGTGATTTTAATTTTCTTCAATTGAGGAAAGACGTCAACCTCCTATGTATGAATCAAAGTAGTCATTATGTAACCAAAATAATTAACAAAAGAAAAATAATGCCTAATTTTTGTGTCTAATCAAATCCAATGCAGCTACATACCTGGCCTGTGCTAATGTCTTTCGGTTCAAAAATATCTTTCATCATGTCACATCCACTTACAAAAAGGCTTTGCAATTTCATTAAATTCCCAACCATTGATAATGAAAATAAGTATTTTAAACCACCACAATTATTCACATTCAAGTTGGTCAAATTTTGAAAGGAGGAACTTGGCAACGGTTGGTCACCCCACACTTTCTTGATATTGATTGAGGACAACTCCAAGCTCTCTAGGTTGGGAACGAAAACCTACAAAAGCTCACAAGAAATTCCATCCTCTAAAATAACTGAAATAATTTTCATAAATCAAGTTCTATAGAAGAGTAAAACTTTATAAGCCAAGCCATCTTCATTGATTTTAAGGTGAATATGATTTAAAACGTATAAATTGAAAAGTAAAGAGAAATATATGTATTGAAAGTTCATTGCATATACATATCTTTGTGTTAAAGAGTGGAATCCATTCAGTAATTGTCTCGACCTTGTCATTTGCGTAGAAACAAGTTAATTTTGATAGAGAGTGCAACGTTAAATAACGTAATAGAGGAAATGAAATTCTACTGCCTTCTGCATCATTGCCAATATTCTCTTGCCTTTCTACATCAACAATGTCCTCCAAAGAATCACATTCAGAAACTTCAAGTGTTTCAAGCTCTTTGAGAAGTCTAGCCATGTCAGGTGAGAATAGATGTTTTACTTGGCCACAAATGTTGATCTTCATGGTTTTTAAATTGCACAAAGAGTCATCTATGAGTTGACAATTGCATATTTCCTCTAGGCTCTCTAGTTTGTACAAACATATTGACTCCAAAATGGGAAAAGCAGTCACTCAATGTTTCCTGTTTGGTGAGAAGATAATATTTTGTATGTCAGAATTTTTTCTAATGGTTAGATGCTTAAGATTCTGAAATCCTTCCACATTTAACTCATAGGTAACATAATGAACACCATCTGCTTCCCCTAAAAGCAATTGCTCAACACCTTTAAACAACTTTTTAATCCCTCTTTGCAAATGAATGTCATCGCCTTTTTTTAGATGCAATGCCAAAACTCTTGAAGTCTTATATTGATGAGACATATGAAAATCTTCCAACAAAAGCATCTTAGAGTCTCCAATCACAATGTTTTAGCTATCCAACTTGTCAAAGTCCAAGCTACTGGGCAAAGTAGTAATATCTTCTATGTGCATATCAAGACTTCTCAACTGTTGAAGAGATTCCAATTCGGCAAGGGTAGCAATTTCATCATGATTTGTTTTTCGTTGAACACCCCATTGGATGAAGGTTTTTCCCATGTACAACTCTTCCAAATTATTCAACTTTGATATTACATTAGATGGAATCACTTTAAGTTTACTACAAAGACTAATGTCAAACAATTGTAGCTTGCTCAATTGCGTAAATTCGCTTGGCAATAATTCAAATTTAGATCCCAAAAGGCTTAGAATTCTTAAACTCCTCAACTCACCAATGATGGATATGTTGTCATCTAGCACACATTGCTCCAAACAAAGCATTCTAAGCTTTATTAGGCATTTAACCGAAGAAGGGAACTTTGATAGATCAATACCTGTCAATATTAACGCTCTCAATTCTTTCATTCCTTCAAAAAGCTTGTCTGGTATTTTCATGGAAGGATCTTTACTACCAAGATGGAAGACTTCGAGTTGAGGGAAATTTACATCTTCTGGAATCCCATCAATGATGTCACAATATTGCAAAGAGATAACAGTGCACTTTTCAAATATATCCTTTCTAGGCCATTCATCAAGTTTGACATATCTCTGGGTAAAAAAATGTTCCTCCTTGTGCGCTATAATTAAGGTAGCATCACGGATCATATCATGCATAGTAACACAATCCGGAGAATTAGTATCCAACAACAAGCTTGAGTCTTTTAACTTCTTTATAGATTCGTTTGCTCTATCTTGAGCTTCTTTTATTGCATTGACTCCTTTAAATATGCTTAACCCGATGCAATATTTCACCAAATACATAATTGATGAATCATTACCCAGGTGAGCGCAAAGCAAGAAAATAGACTTCTCTTCACTTAGTAGGAAGTCATAACTTAACTTCACAGAAATCTCCACCGGTCCTAATACTTCAGTCATATCTTGCCTTTCAAATCGTTGCAGTGCATTTCCCCAGAAGACTTTGTTCTTACTATTCTTCAAAGCTTTTCCAGCTGCTTCTATTGCTAACGGCAACTTTGCACATTTTTGAACATTTTTGAACAATCTCGGATTCCTCTTCCTCCATGACGTTCACTTTAAAAATTGAATCCTCCCTTACTTTCATTTCACTCGACAATACCTCTTTGCGTCGAGAAGTCAACAAAATCTTGAACCATTTGGAATCACTCGCCATCTTGTTGTCTTTCAATTGGTTGTGACTAATATTTGGCATATTAGCTATTGTTTTCTGGTTGATGTCATCATTCTTCAATGGAATGCCCAACATACTCATGTCAAATCGAGGCCAAAGATCATCCAAGATGACTAAGATGTTCTCCTTCTCCTTCCTCAATCTCTGTTTCAAATGACCCGCTCGTCCATTCTTGCTCTCATCATCCAATCTCAAGCCCAGCATGTCCGCTATTTCTCCTTGTATCCTTCTTACATCAGTTTCTTTTGTAATATTCGCCATAACCACAACATTAAATAGCCTTTCTGATTTAGCTTTCCTTGCAATTGCTTTAACTAAAGTGGTTTTGCCGACACCGCCTTGTCCATAGATACCAATCATTTTAATTTTGGGATCACTCAGCGCTTTCATAACCTGCTCCACAATGGCATCTCTTGATTTAAATGACTCATAACCATCATCATGAAGAGCAACATTTGATGCTTCTGGCTCTGGACGGTAAGAAAAGGCAGGAAAGTTTGACTCTTCCAGCAGATCATCGCACTGTTGAACCATCTTCTGCGCTTGTTTACCAAGCTTACGCCCCAAATATAGGTTGGGAAACGAACCACTGGAGCTCCTTGTCCTCTTCTGGCCTTTATTAGTTAGGAACTTCTGAATTTCATCAATCTTCTCATCTGTCTTCGTCAACCAGGTAGTGACAGGATCGTGAATGTTCTCAGCATTTCTTTCAGCTTCTTCAACTTGAGCCATGACGCTGGTCTTTCGATCACGGAGATCCTGTACACGACTTTGCAGCTTCTGAACATTGCTTCTGTAGTTGCGAATGTAGTGTAGTTGTCGTTTAACAGGTTCCACCATGCCACCCAGCACTGTCCCGAAAAAGGTCGCTAAAAACTCCATTCTTCTTAATCCTTTTTTGGGTTTTCTTCTTTAGTTTTTCTTGGATTTTTTTTTTTTTTGGGATTTTCTTCGGGTACTCTGGAATAACTTTCTTTCTAAGATAGGAAAACTAGACGGCAAACAAGGACGAACTAGAACATGAACAAACGGAATGCGCTGTGGTTTTGAAAGGGTGAGTGACTGAAGTGAAGTCACTGGGCAAGCACTGCGCAGAAGACAAACACAAAGGGATGACCAACACGAAGAACGCGGTGGAAAAAGCAAGTGATGCAGGTTCAGAAAGTAAAGATCAGAGAGAAATAGAAAGGCGTTAGGAGAGAATGGTGGTTTGGTTCGACTTGCAGATAGCAACGTATGGTTTGAGGCTACAACAAAGGGAGGAGGGAAGACTTCAAGTATTCAATATTTGAAGGAATATCTTAATTTTTATTTTGAATTGTCATAATCGAAGCTCCAATCTTTTTCCATTGTTTGGGAATAAAATTAAACAACTTGCACATTCTAATAAAATATATGAATTTTTTAAAAAAAATGCATAAAATTCCAGAATATAATACTGTCTGTCAGTTATAACTAATATAATTTTTCCCGTAAATTTTATATTTTATACCAATTTATTTTAATTCATTATTAGTAAAACTGTTCTTTCATATTGATTTTGATTGTTGCCGGCAAAAAATTGATTTTAACTGTTAAGTAATGTGAAAATCGGCACAAAATAAATATATAAATTTAAAAAATTAAGAATTACAGAAAATTCAAGAAAATTATACTGTTACAGATATAAGTAATATTTTTTTTATATTTTATATCAATATTTTTCAACTTATAGAACAAAAGAAAAGAATCAAATTTTGCAAGGAAAAAGACAGTTAAACCGCTGAATAATTCAAAATTCAAATCATTCCCCAAAATGAAAAATGCAATACAAATCCTAGGGAATTAAATTGGAATTTCAAATTTTGGTGAATTGATTTTGCTGCTCTTTCAATTTCATGGAATTGAGCAGGAAAAAACCAGTACAAAAGCTCTGTCAATGTTATGGAAACGAATTCTCTTTCATGGATGGCACCTGGGTGGTCACATGCAACATGGTCAGCCATCTTTCAATTTTATATTTAGCCAAAAGCAGAAACATTTTTACGAGTAAAGTTGATGAGTGTCTATTTAGTTTAAAAAATTCAAGTTAATTTAATTTAGTTTCTTTCTTAAAGCTAAATACTCCTTCTATTATGAAAATATAAGCAATAAATTACTAGAATCCTTTATCATCAGATATAAGCAATACTACAAATTTTCAAGAATATTTAATTAATATATTGTCTTGACAAAAATGTCTCTTATAGATATCTATAAAAGGATTTTCTAATTTCTAACAGAAAATAATAACGATGGTCTATTGGCCCAATTACATATTTTTATTGGGCAATATTAAAAAGATTAAAATACTGAGGGTTGGTAAATTCACAGTCTCCAACACATGCATGTGGGCAAGGGTTAGGGATGCTTCAAATAAGACAAAAGGCTTCACTGCCTAGCAAGTACCAGGAAGCTCATTGGATCACTCCATTTCAGTAATCAAATCTTATCCCCCCCCCCCCCCAAAAAAACAAAAGAAAAACACCTTTTACTAATGTTTGCTTTTCCCACAATAACTTGCTTAACAACACTTGGAATATCCGGCCAAAAGGACATAATCTTCTTTATAAGTTATTTTACAAAATTTATGAAGCAATTTTCATAAAATCGATCGATCAACTTTCCTGATCAACAATAAAGTTCAACACAGATGACTGAGTTCTCTTGACAGGGGATTAAATTCCTGGCTATGTGTATGTGGGGGGAAAAAACTTGTTGGGAGAGGCAAAGCTTATTGTTGTGATATCAATATCTCAAAAGGCTTTGTCGACTGAGGATATCTTTGGAGAGCACCAAAAAAAAAAAGAAAGAATAAAAGCCACCCATATAAAGAATTAGAGGTAGTGTTTACATTGATATTAAAACTAGGATAGTGTTAGAAAAAAAAAAAAAATTAATTGTCTTGTTTGAAGCATCCCTAATCTCGTGATTATGGAGATTCTCACTAAATAATGCAAGATCAACGTTCACGCGTGATCCTCGTAACCTTAACTATGACTCTGTGCCCACATGCATATGTTTTGGAGACTGTGAAATTACGACCCCTCCTTTCCATTTTATTTTTTTTTTTTGGCCAGCGCCTCCTTTCCATTATTAAACGCTACGAACAAGTAAATTAAATTGAATTTTGATAGCGGAGACAATGGAACTAGAACCCCCGCTGGCCCCATATATGTTTTGATACTGGAAGAAGTATTCAGCTTTAATTTTGGAATTAATTAACTTGTAAATATAAGCTGTTTAAATTGCAAATCTAAGAATTTAATTTACTTGTAAATCTATTTGTAAAATTTGAATAAGGGGTAATTCACTTTTTTGCAAATGTAAAAGAAGACATTCAAGACCTTGAGACTTCTCCATGTTTCAACAAATTTGCGGGATTAATTTTCAAATAAATCTCTTAACAATAGCTATATATCAATTGTTTGTTTTTTTGTTGTCTAGTTTGATCAGCTATATATCCATTGGACTCTTCGCATGTCTTTCAATATCCAAATTGATATTTAGAAACTATGTCGCCCTTTGGTTATCAATGTAATATTCTACCAACAAAAAATGAAAAGAAACACACAAAGCTAAAAGAGCTATCACTATTATAGATACATCATATTTGCTCCGAATAAATGCTTCATGGTTTCAAAGCATTAAATATTAGGAAAATCCTCAAAAAAATACCTCTTAAATTTCAAAATTTCAAATCAGAAATTACTACAAAATTGTTCTGTCATTTGCTTTTAAAAGATAGTCAATTATTATAAAATAAAGTATAGTAAACTAAACAAGACTTATTTAGAATTTTGAAATTCAATAGATTTTTTTAGGAATTTTTCCTTAAATATTTGAAGACATTTTTTTCCAAAAATTTGAAGACATATTTAACTGTCAGGTGACAATAACTTTTAAATAAAGTTTCCTTAATCCAGCCAAAAAGGACACGTATGCAACATAAGGGCTATTTTCATTCTAGGGTTAATTAATCCGCAAGTCCTTATAGTTTCAACGAATTTTGAATCAGGTCCCTATAATTTTTTTTCTTTTTATCAGGTCTTTATACTCTTACCTTTTTTTAATTAGGTCCTTGTATTTATTTTTCTTTTAATTAAGTCCTTATAATTTCACTAAATTTTTAATCAGGTCCATATAGTTTTAATTTTTATTTATTAATTAAATATAAGCTTAATTAAATAGATTAATACTGAAATATAAAATATTAATAATTAAATTAAATTAATAATTATGCAATAAAAAAGTAATAGAATTAATTAATTCAGGAAATTTTTTTAGAACAATTAATTTTTTTGCTGAAAAAATTAAAATCATTATAATAATTCAATATCTTTAGAATATTATTGTTTATAAACTAATATTAAATAATATATACTATTTTATACTTATATAATAGTACTATTAGAATTTATAAAATAAAGAATAAAAAATTCAGGGACTTAATTAAAAATAAGGTGAACTTATAAGGACTTGATAAAAAGAAAAATAAATACAAAGACCTAATTAAAAACAGGCGAAAGTATAAAGACCTGATAAAAAGAAAAAAAAACTATAAAGACCTAATTCAAAATTAGTTAAAACTATAAGAAGTTGTGGATTAATTATCCCTTCATTCTATTTATAAGTTATTTTCTAAAAAAAATTTATAATCTTATTTATAAGTTCATTCACAAAATTTATGACACAATTTTTATGAAATTGATTCTCTTTCTTGATCACCAACAAAATTCAACACACATAACTGAGTTCACTTATTAGGGGATTCAATTCCTAGTCATGTATGTGCACCAAAAAACAGAAAATCTTATTGGAAAAGACAAATCTTGGCTTATACTATCCTCTATTCTAAATATAAGAGTTAGTTTAACATTTAATTTGGTTCTGGATATAAGATCTCTAATCCAATTTGTCTGTTATATTTATTCTTTTTTTTATAAAATAGTCTTTATATTAGTTGTACATATTAAATGTTTCATCAAATAGTAATTCTAACAAATACACGTAATTAACAAAAGTATTCTAGAGAAAATAACATATATTTATTACAAATAATTAACTTAACAAACTTTCTTAATCTATTTAAATCAGACAACTAGCTCTTATATTAAGGCTGAAATGTGGCATCTTCTCGTGATCTCTCTATGTGTCGAAAGGCATTGTCAATTAGCGATATGTACACACACAGATTGTTGCGCATCAAAAAAATAAATAAAAGTAATTTACACCAGGGATTAGCGGAAGTGTTTATATTGAATATTAACACCACCTCATGGAGATTCGCACAGGATACTATAAGAGCAACGTTCACGCGTGATCCTCGCAACCTTACCTGTGCCTCTGCACCCACATGCATATGCTTTGGAGACTGTGCTCCGCTCCATCATTGAATACCACGAACAAGTAAATTCAATTAAATTTTTATTACGGAGGCTGAAATTAGCAAACCACCCCCGGCCCATATTTTGATAAGAGAACATTACCCCAAAAAAAAAAATAACTTTCAGTGATGACTTTCAGTATGGTGACACTTGCTGCTGAAAATCTTACTTTCAATAATAACTTTTTAGAGTTGTCACTAAAAGTTAATTTTTAAAAAATAAGACTTTCAGTGGCGACTCCTAATATCATTGTTGAAAAAGACTTTCAACAGTGACTGCTTTCAGCGGTGGCATTTGTATCACTACTGAAAATTACTTTCAATGGCGACACTAAATATCACCACAGGAATTCTATTTTAACTTTTTAATAAAAAAAATTTAGACAATAATTTTTTTATTAATATGATTTGTTATGACAAAATAAAGTATTTTTACATGTTGTTGTATTAGAGAGAGAGAAAGAGAGGGTTAGAGAGA